TCCAGATTGAGTGAGGGGGTGATAGACCGGTCAGCAAATTCGTTGTGAAAGGAAGAAGAATAGAGAGCGAATTTAGTGGTAGTCATCCACCACGTTATCACGAGATTGCTCAGTGGGTAAGGCGCAAACTTACTGACTAGAAGGTCCCCGGTTCAAACCCGGCCTCTGTATGTCGATTTCTCTTGTCTAGGCTTGAGTAACCCGGAAGTATCGCGATCGTCGTGCATGTCAGCTAAGAACCGAAAGGGTGTTATGGCTGGACGATTTTTTACCCACCACGTTTTCGGTATACCTGCAATTATGGAAGATCCCCGCAACTGGTGTTTTTCGTTAACTCATGGACTCAAAATTTTCGTAGACGGGATTTGCTAATTTTGGTACTGTAAGCGTTTGGTTATAAGCAGAATCTTTAAGACCTCATGGTTTTTTAGTTTCATCGGCCGGAACAGTAGCTTTTCGGACGCATAATTCTTCACCGATTATTCATTTCCTGACACAGTATAGTAATCTGAATAGAGTCTTCTCGAAAAGGTTTTTCGTCTAAATTATTTGCTCTGGAACCCTCCAGATAATCTGTTAGCTCCGTGTGTTTGACGCGATCACCCTTAACACTTTGTCTGTATTACCTGGGTAGAAGAACCAGAACGGTACCAGAAGTGGCTGTAACTATCGTTGTACGGACCTGGCTGAGTAATGACTAGCACTAGTTGGTCATGTGTTTATCTAGGACGCGTCTGCTGAATGGGGCGATTCTGGGTCACAATTTGGTCATATTGATAGCTTTGGGACTGTTCTCTCCTGTCGGGCCTAAAACCCACACACTCCGATCGCTCAATAATTGATCGTGGCCACCAGCAAATTATGCATTGCGATCGACAACCGAATAAATCTTGCTCTGGGCCTGAAGCGGCTCAAAGCGCATCTTCTGTGCATAGCAGCATCAAGAGCCAAGTATCTATCCTTATGCAAAGTTAGCTCCATGCAACCAGTTGTGTCAGGTTCTTGCCCCACTGGCTCATCAAAGAAACCCAAACAACTGCTGCTTCGCGGTCTGGATCTTTGAGTTACAGGCTAGAGTAATGTCCCCTGAATAATATCCTTTATCCTCCCGCTACCCTGTGGATCAGGCGTTTGACTCGAAGGCTCACATTGTGGTATTCCAAACCCACTCAGCTAACCTAAGCAACTGAAAAATATCGTTTACCCTTACAGCTATTCATTTACTGATCCATACTCCTACGTCCTCCAAACAAGTCCTTTTGTTTCACTTAATTATCGATAAGTTAGCTCCTGCTCTCCGTCTACACGTCTGCCCGGTAAAACAAATTAGGTTTCAGAAGATCTGCTCTCTTACTGCGTTCAATTTCCGTACTCTGTGTCAAATAGATCAGTAGGTATCTCTTGTTCAAACCTTGTTCTTTTCGACTGATATATTTTGTCTACGAACGGCAAATACCAGACCCAATTTCGGTCGCTGCTCCGGACAAACCCATATTTCTCCCATACAGCCTTCGGAAACATCTGCCTGATGTCGCTTGCCTCGCACCTGTAAATTGCAAAATGCTGCTGCGACATTGGGTGAGATAAAAACTCGCTCCTCATTCTTGCAGGTGAACCGATCGGTGCAGTAGATAAGTTCGTTTATCCGGGTAGCTGCATAAGTCGCGGTGGTCTGGCGGAAGATGAAATCACTTTCCGAATATGGAGGAATGGGTCGGCGTTTGCCAACTCTTAACGTCTGTGTCGCGAACATGACATCAGCTTGGCTGATTGTGCAATGCTGACTGAGGAATTCTGGCCGTTTTAGCCTTTCAAACAAAAGCTTCGCTACTAGGAACTACCAGCGATCGAATGATTGATCCTAAACACGTTCGGTGTCCCATGTTGTCTCTCTCTCTGGAAATGGACTGATTAAAATCTGTCTCAGCTGATAGGTGGTTTCATTCCGAACGAGACCCCGAAGGACAAACCAAAGGTGATGTCTTCCTTGACAGACTGGTCCTGTCGTCTTCCCAGTTATCGCTTTAGATCGTATCTGTTATTAGATATGACCGCTACACATTACGCTTTCCTCACCAGTCACGCATCCCTCTCGTTTTAGGTATAAATCAACCGGTGTACTAATCCGTGAACGTCAGGCCCAATATGTCATTCCAGGTTTGTCTCATGCAGATGCTGCAGAGATAACAAAACAACGCGGCCTCATTCGTTTATCCGAAGAACTGGCAGATCAAGTTGCAGCTCAGCAGGGTGTTGGAAGCGCGAGGAAGAAAAAGAAGAAGAAGTCGAAAAACAAGGTGCCTGAAGTTGGTAACGTGCTTTCTGGTGAGGAAGATGGTAAGCGTCTTAGTTGTTCTTGTTCATCTTTTTACGGGCTCCAGTCAGTGCAATGGTCAAGGTTTCCAACCACGGATTTCATAGTTTGCGTCCACCTGGATCCTCGTGTCAGCGCACAGTGAAGTCTCCTTGATTGATGTAGAAGCGTTCAAAAAACTTCAGCTTCGGCGAATGGGCCAGCAGCCGCATGATCAGCCACATGTAACGCCCTTATGGTTTGCCTACTGAAAACTGTATGAGTAGGTAATTTTACTTGGTTATCACTCGTGGCGTCCACTACCCGGACGACATTGGAAATTCGCTCTAATTACGGCAAAGCTAATAGTCATATCTGATGGTCTTTTTACTGCGCAGACTTTGTTGCTTCGTATGTTTGCCTCTCACAAGCATATCTTCGATAGCTGTCCTTAGAGGTGAAAAAAATCGACTAACAAATGCCCGGAGTGGGTGTATTAGTGGTGTCACTCTACCCACCCCAGCTGCAAACAAAATTCTACTGGTATCGGACTTCACCCTGGTGGCGTTCACCGTCCGACTCATCGTTACTTTTAAACGCGACTTTTTTCGAATTGATTTCAAAATGGCCAATTGAATTCCATCCAGCCTTCCATTTGCATAATTAATTTCAGGTCTGCTTAATGGCCTTTCAAACCTTTATTTGTCTACAGGGTTGTGGAACTTTTGTTTCGTCAAGTCATCAGAATATGTAGTACATGTGTGCCATTCAACCTAACGAATGTTCGGCTATCAAACGTATATGGGAAAAATCGAACAGTCCAGGGTGAATCAGAAGTACGCTTCTGATTTAAGTAGTTTACTCCGTCTTAGAATCATCTGATCGTATCACCGAATTTATTGCTTCAAACCATCCCTATTCACGGATTTTTTGTCCCGAGTTTTTGCCTGCAAAGAACAGTAGAGCTTGCTTAAATGTAATGTCTCTGGACTCACGGAGCTTTGTGAATGTTCCTCCCAAAACCCCGAGTATTCCCCTTGATTTTTTGGTGCTAATTAGCCGTTGTTAAATACGATTATTCCAGTAAGGTAGTCGTAGGTCTCTGGTTGTGTCATCGGGCTTTTTTGAATCACTAGTTGACAAGATGACAGCTAGTACACATGGGTGCGTGGCAGCTAGGCACCGAAGTGGTGTTACAGCCGGACGATTCGTTAGGTACATAGGTAGTCCTGCACGCTGGAAAGTCACAGTTGCCTCATCTGGCAACCGCGCGCAGTCGATATACATTATTTCCAAAAAATACACCCGGTTCCCCGTGGGATGTACGTGAAAACGAACCAAACTATCCTCCATCTAGTCGTTTTTTCCATCTCATCCCACCGAACGTCTTCTGGGACAGTTATACACCAAACAACTTTTATTTTTAACTTATGGGTGTTTCAGCATACCAGTTTGTGTCCGTCATATGATTCAGTTCATCATGTGCTATTCTATCGTGCCATTTGGGTGCATTTTACCATTTGAGGCCATCTCAGCTGGATACCAGACCGGTACGGCGTAAGTGAGAATGCAACCACCTGAGCGTGAAAACAATGTTGCTCTGTCCTGCCAACAGTTGTTCGAATAGCTGCTGCGGCGAGTGCACCAGATGGATGATAGGTGGACAGCCATGTGGCCTTTTGTCCTAAACTGTTGCTATCAGTGTCCTGCAGTGATACGAACTCAACTGGAAAAGCTCGGCCGGGCGCCGCGACGTTGAGGCGCAAAATGAACGTCTTAAGGAACCATTTGTTAAAGCCTATGGAAGATGTGCTTTAGCATGTCTTAGTTTAAAACTGCAGATTATTGACAGAGAACTACCATAGAACGATGTGTGAATTGATAGAATGAGGTGAACAGTTGGCCATGTCCTAACCCATACAGGCGCATTCAGCTCACTAGTGGTGAACTCTATGTGCACTTTTTTTGACGAATATTGTACAGGAATCAGGAGTTTGGAATCTCGAATCCAATGCCTTGGGACGACTAAATGGGACCCCAATAATGACATTCAAAGACACTTGATTCCACTATCAGTCACAACGAATTAGAATATGACAGGAAGGCTGTTCAAAAAGACTTGGTTGATCTTGTTCGGCCGTGACATTCTTTCGGTACAAAGCTGTCGTGCAACGCCAGAGAACAACAATAGTTAGCCTACTTCCAGGTCGCCCATGAATAGGCAGCAGCAATTGAAATCCTGGATTAGTTTCGAATCACTAATCTATCAGTCGGTGCCTAAACCCCCGAGCTATATCGAGCTCATTTCCTGGCTGTGGATGACACTGGCCCATCATTTTCGGAAGGATTTTTTAGACTTTCAAAGTAGATTAAACAATTTTGAATTTCACGTTGAGCTAAAATTCTGGGCTCATTTGGTCAATTGATGGGCCATCACTTTGAATCTCCTTTCTTTCAATTCTCCCATTATTAACATAATAGCCCTCAATCATGCTTGTGTCTGCCCCATTAGGACGGTCTTGTCTTATCGTTGGAATACGGCTTTGGGGAGATAAGCGTCAGTCACAAGGCCCTTGAATTCAGAACCCTTTGATCCCAAGGGGTTTTCCTGGTTGATGGGTGGTGGAGATGTCCTCACAAAGAGTGCGACTCCGTGACCCGTGTCTTACTTACCCTAATGATGAAACGTGTGGAGCCTTAAAATTTCGTAAATTCAGACAGTTTCCAGGATCGTGTTCCGATCTGACTGGTATGAGAATATGCATGAGTTCTTCATGTTCCCATTGTTCGTTGAACTTGGCAATTTTGTTGAACGTAAACGAAATTGGGTGTCGGTCACTGTAAAAGCAATAGTTGTGTTGCTTGACTGTATACCTGGTTCTGTTATGGTGCCATTCAGCAGGAGCTCTTTGCAAATGTGGGAATGGTACTTGTGCAGGGTAATTCTTAGACAGGAGATGTTCACCTTTTATACAATGGCCTCACGCGGACAGGT